TCTCTCTATAAAAAAAAAAATAAAATAAAATAAGCAAGAGAAATAAGCACCCACCTGTTGGTCACTTCATAGTCAATGGTCCGGGCCACAGTGATCAGTCCCGTGTCCGAGTTGACGGTGAACCCGTTGTTCACGTTCCCACCCGCGATGTGGTAGGTGACCCGGCCATCGCCCCTGGAGCTGGTGGCTCGGACAGTGGTCAGCGGCGCTCCGGCCGCTGTGTTCTCCTTGATGCTGGGACGGGTGTCGAACGGCTGGAACTGAGGCCTGTTGGTGTCCGTGTTGCTGGACAACTGGACGTTCACAGTGGCGTTGCTGGTGAGGGGAACCTTGCCCTGTGGTGGGAAATACCGGTGAGTTAGTAGACAGTTAGCTTGAACAATTCGCTAAACTCTCAATACATCGCTTCCTTAGACTTTACTCTCACTGGCAAAATTGAAGGCAAAGAAGGCAGGGGTAGGCCCAGAGCAACCTACTTAGGGAACCTAAACAAGAGTGTAACGTGGAAAGATCAGGGAAATGTGGCTTTTTTAAGAGCATCCGAGCAAAGGAATGAATGGAGAACCATGATCGCCGATGTCTGTCGCAGATCTGGCACTGGATGAATGAATGAGATTTTACGAAGATCTATCCGACAATTTTGGCCGGTTTGAGTTACTAAAACCAAGAGGTCAGAAATCAAAAGATTATTCGGAATCGTTATCAAGATACTCAGAGAATTGGATTCGAAAAAAACCCAACAAGGTAGTTCCAAAGGCAGAGCAAGAAAACAAAAACAAATAAACGAAAACAAAAACGTTCACAAAACGAGGACAACAGGCGGGAATACGTACCAGGTCGGAGGCTCTGACCACGAAGCTGTAGCTTCTCTTGCTCTGTGTGAGCGAGGAGGCCAGTGTGACCACCCCTGTGTCACTGCTGATGTGGAACCACCGCTCGTCCCCGCCCGCAAGCGTGTAGTGCACTCGGCCATTGTTGCCCACGTCCCTGTCTACAGCCGTCACGCCAAGGACAAAGTCCGCTGTGGGAGGGTGAACATGGTGGGTTAGATTGGTAGAAATAGAAAAAAAAATACTTGTAGTAGCAAGAGATCTTGTTTGTTGGAGAGAGAGAGAG